CTGTAAATAATGTTTAAGGAGTTCGGTCTAGACCTGCTCTATTTGAAAAGTGTCCTGAGATAACTTCTGTTATGAATTGGCGCTATACAAATAAAATAAACTTGAATTGAATTGAATTGAATTACCGGGCTTGATTTTGATGGCTGATTGAAAACAAAAGACAAATTGCAGCAACGTTCTACTTTACATCTAAATGCCAACACCACATCCTCCTGTGTCACCATTTCTCTTTTTTGGAGCTGTGTTACTACACTAGATCAGACTCACATAAAATTGGACGTCGGTCCATAGCTGATTCATTTTGGACTACTTTCCTCATTCTCTCAGAGGTCAGCACTGTGAAGACAGTGATTTTGTGTATCAGAACTAACCAAAGTTGAACTACTTGGTTACAGATTTTAAATTTAAGTTGTGTTTTGCAGGTTTTCTCCACAGGGTGTTTATGAATCTGTTGAGGCGTTTGGAACAGCAAACATTGAAGCTGTCAGAACCAGTCAATGATGTGACTCACTATGGTGCTGTACATCAGTTGACAAGGAGAGTTGCAAAATACACATCCTGCTGTGAAAATGTCACTGATGATGACTTGCGTTATCTTTGTTTTGTTCCTGTGACAGCGTGGGGCAGTGCAAGGAGGCGGACAATGCTGCGAGGTCACGGCAGGTTCCAATGTCTCCCTCCGATTTTCTGGACAAACTGATGGGTAGGACATCTGGATATGATGCCAGGATAAGACCGAACTTTAAAGGTATCTACCTTTCTATGTGTCCATCTGTATTTATCCACAAGAACAGACGGGGGGAAAAGTGGACTTAACTTGTGAGCCACTGTCCACAATAACATGGATTTTATTTGATAATATTTAAGAGCCACCCATCTGTGTGTTTAGTAAAAGCTTGTGTTGGAGCTTCACTTGAACTTGAGCTTAACCTTTTACCATATTCCTTCCTGAGAACAGACATTGCAACATGTATAACTTGTCAGGCATAGTTTTGTGCACATAAGGTACCTCACAAACTGGAAATCTGACGTTAGCCTTTGCAGTAAAAGGCTGCTTCACAATTTCATCTGTGTTTTGATCCATCCTTTTGCTTTTTAAAATGAAAACCAAAATCCAGTTGCCAAGGCCAGTTCTCCTCCTTTGTTTTCTCATTACTCTCTCAAACTTCTTTATTTTAATTTTAGATCATCTTTGTAGCAACCCTTGCTGGCACTGTCAACAACCTTGACAACATTAGTGTTTAACTTTGAAAAGCTAGTTAGCAACTACAAGTCATTCATCTGCAGATAACATCATAAGAGAAAAAAACGTGACCAATCATCTGATTGCGTGCGGTTTCCAGCTTAGCAGCTGCAAAACATTTTACCTCCAGTTAGGACTATTTTAATTGCCTTTAAACTGATTCCTATCTGGTAGCTAGCTTTTATTATACTATATTTACTGTGGCAGCAAACACAACACAACACACAACCTTTCATTACTATTATACTACAACCTGACGTTACTGAACCTCAACCTCACACACCAGGACTTACTTCCCACAACAGACCGGCACAGGATACCCACAAGAGAAAGGTAGACTTCTTAAAGGGGAAGGCTTGGCCAGTAACACACAGATGCAGTTAGGCTGTGGGTGGAGGAAGGAACAGATCCTTTAATGAAGTAAAAGTACTAATATCCCACTTTGAAAATACTCCACTACTGGTACACTGCCTTCCCCACCCCATTGCTGAAGAATATCCTTGGGGAGACTCTGAAACCCATTTAAATTGGTCTATTTTTACTATAGATTTAATAAATCAAAAGTATTTCATATCCAATTACTTAATTAATAGATGCAATAATTGCTAGAATACTCAATTACTTAATTAATGCAGCCTAGTGGATTCACTAAAGTGCTTTACATTAAAACACATTTAATGTTAAGCAACATCTACTAAATCCTGTTTTAACCGTGACAGCAGAAACATTTGAACATGTTCCTAGAAATGGGAACTTAATGTGGGGGCACAATATGTAATACAGTACAATACGCAAACAACAAAGTATATATTTCTAATTTTTCTTACAAAACAGGACTTCAAAGACACTGGACAGCAGCATAACTTAGGTTCTTTAGATTGTTCCTATAAATATAAATCTAGATATAAGAATTAGGGGTGGAACAGAACAAAATTCAGTTCATCAGCTTTAGGGTCATGGTTTTCGGTTTGATACATTTTTGGTACATTTATTCAAACAACTTAACAAAGTGCAAGCAAAAGATGCTGCTTTGTTATTTTAATATAAAAATGGCCACATTATAATTCATTCAATTCAATTTTATTTGTATATGCGCCAATTCATAACAGAGTTTCTCTCAGGGGCACTTTTCAGAATAGAGCAGGTCTAAGACCAAAACTCCTTATAAAATTAATTACAGAGACCCAACATAATCAGAATCAGAATCCAGAAATACTTTAATAATCCCCGTGGGGACAATATCTAACTATCAACGTAGTACCACCATGAGCAAGCATTGGCGACGGGGGCAAGGAATAAACTGCCTGTTAAAAGCAGTAATCCTCGGACAGACCCTTCAGCTCTAGGTGGGTGGTCCATCTGTCTCGACCAGTTGGGTGAGAGAGAGATGAGAGAGAGGAGAGACAGACAGGACAGACAGACAGTGCATCAGTATATCACAGTGCATATATCACAAATAGT